ATTTAATTAGAAGCATTTAAGTAGCTTAAATTTGATCTATTCTCTGTTGCTCTTCCATTGTTGTCTCATTTCGAATTACATCATATTTCTTGTTTAACAATTTATTCTCACGAGAGAGTATTATCTTACTCTCAAAGCTAACATTTCTACGTGTCCATTCGAGAGAAATTCAGGTAATTTTATCCTAAAATGGACACGTATCTTTTTATAAATATAATTTTTAAAAATTGATTTTGATGATACTTCTCACATTTTTAATTTTAATCGATTTTAATCGCGTTTTGATCCAACGTTTCTCATTCAAAAATTCTATTTTTCCGATTACCGAAAAAAATATCACGAAATCGCATCGTTGTTGAGACGGATTGAAAGGGAATCTCTCTATAACAACGGAACGTTTCGTATTCCCCCGTGGAAAGAAAACGAGTCAAAGGGCACCGCTTCCTCTTTGACGATCTATCGTATGGCCAGTTGAAAATTTATCGGCTTGGAAGACAGTGGCTACTGGTATTCCGCTATCCGATCCCGTATTTCGAGAATCGTTTCGTAACCGAAGCCCGATGCTCTTTGCTCGGCAATGCCGCCGCAACGCACGCCGTCTGCATATCAACACGCCCCCGTAGCGCCGTGCCTTCTCTCCTCTCCTCTCGCGGGCACGTACGTCGCTCATTGTCAGTCTGTTACCTTTTTGTACTTATTTAATACCGTCCTCTGGCATTTTCCACGTAGGGTGAATGCGTAAGAGAGGGGAGGAGGAGTAAAGGAGGGAGTATCGGACGTGGATCGCGCGAGATCCAACCGGAGAAATCCGCGTGTGACGCGTCGATTTTAATTGCGTTTCGCGTAGAAATCGATTGCTTCCAGGAAATTCGTCTAATGATCCTCGATGATGGATCGTTCAAATCGCGGGCGGCACGTAGATATATCCGTGCATTGTTACAATTTCATTAATTGATTGTAATATTATAATATATAAACAAGGATTTCTATTCGATTAATATTTTAAGAAAGGTAGATATTTAAAATTGTAAATAGTATATCCGATTTTTCTAAATTTTGTTTTTATATATATTTTCTAAATTTATATTCTAAATTATATTCTAAATTTATATATATTTTCTAAATTTTGTTTTATATATATATATTTACGAGGCAGAGATTTGTTGACTCTTGGAAATTGATCGCGCGATTCAAGTTTATCGCACAAATTCGCTCGTTGTCATGGTTACGAATTATTCGTAATAACGTTGTAATTAGACAGCGGAGATAAATTAAATTCAATTACAATGTAAAGAGAGAAATCCGTGAGAATCGACATGCAGCCATAAATTCATTAATATCTCTCATGGATAGTCGTTATAAAGCTCATCGTAGATGCTTAACGATGAATTGGCGCGCGAAATTTATGCATAAATTATCAGGCTGCGCGAAGATTTCGATTATACAGCTGCGGTCGTCAGGCACGCCGACTCGGTTAAGAGCCAAATAAGGGTGTCGAGCTCACGCATTACCGTCTCCTTTATTATTCATATGCGAAAGTGAGGAGCGTGTAATGCTCGCCGATATCCACGCACGAGACGTTTAATTTCGCCGCGTGCACGAAGGGAAATGGACGATCACTGCTGCTACCCTATTGTCAAGGGGGGGTGGGCCGTGACCACGCGTGCGTCATTTCACGTGCAATTGTGCACCGAGCCACTCAAGTCCGTGCGACTTGCCAAATGCGAAATTAAAGTTTTTAAAGTTTTAAAGTTTTATCTTTAAATTCTATTATCTTTTATTATTTTGTGTGCAAATATATAATCTTGCAAAGTTTCGCGTTTTGTTATATATGTAAGATAGAGAATATTTTAATCGCAATTAATAAAATGGGAATATTATATTAAATTACTTTAAATATTTATCTTTGTTATCTTCGTTGACAATGTTTAACCGTGTTATTGGTGAATTTCTCGTGTGGAAGAATTCCGTGGTCCCCGCCACGCTAAGATGGGTGTGACCGCAGACCTCGATCGTATCGCGCGGGTTTGTTTAAATAATCGGACGTTTCAACCTGTGGCAGGTATCTTCGAGTCGGCATCTGACCAACCAATATGTATGATAATTTCGACATGCCTACAGCTCATAATGGATCTTGAATATGTGCGAGTTGAAGGGTACGAATGTAAAAGAATCCAAGGGCATTTATATTGAGGTACAAAAATGATCCGAGGGAAAAAGTGAAAATTGGAGAGCAGGTTTTGTGTTCATTTACCTTCTTGGAAGATGTACCGTGTGTTAATAATATTGTAATTAAAATATAATTGTTTATAATTGTCAAGATATGTGCATAATAATTCATTATTTATTGCTTGATAGAAATATGATTTATTTTTTTAACAAATTTTAATAATACTTCTTAGGAAAGTAGGAAATTGTCACGTTTCGATGATTGGAAAAGTTAATTGAACGAAAGATTTATAAATCGAATAACCAGAGCATTGCCCGCCATTTTTATTTGCCACTATTGAATGATCAATAATGATTAAAAATAATTAAATTATTTTTAAAATAATTATTAATAATAAGCGACTTCTTGCAATAAAATAAATTTAACGAATCATTGTATCAGATCAATAATTGAGAAAATTAATAAATTGAAAGTATAATTGAGAATTATTAACATTTAAATATTTTATATTTAAAAATATTTATTAGAAATCTACAGGCAACTTTTTAAGCAGTTATCGATATAATAGTGGGAAGAAATGATCTTTTCTGTTGAGCTATGGTTATCAGATGAGAAAGAGTTAAAATTACGATTTTATAATAAAAGTATAAATAAGAAAATATAATAATGATTGTAGAATCTTCTTAAAATTTTCAAAATATTGAATTTTTTTTGTAATAACAATTTTTGATCGAATTTAATGATTTTGTATTAGAAGAATATATTTTGAGAAGAACATTAGAATATATTTGTATTTTTTATATATATACTTATCTATTTGGATTATATATTTTTATTAATAAAATATTTTTTGTTCATTTTATTTAATTCTTAACATGGAATTTAATATATTTATCAATAGTTTATTTATCATTTAAATATTCATCTTTTTAAGATATATTAAAAAAAAAAAAAAAATACAAATACAAAGAAAAAAATTATAATCTCTTTCTGTAAAATAAAATTTTGTATTATTATATCAATTAAGTTAAAAAAATTATAATATTATATATCATTATTATTATTTTGAAATTTATAATTATATTTCTTTATATACGATATATTCGTTTTAAAAGTATCTGCATACCATTATTTTTATAAATATCAGAAATAAATATCAGAAAAAATGTTTCAAATAAAAATTATGTACTTTCGATGGAAATATGATATTTTTTTTTTAATATATTATATATGTGTCATTAAATTGAATAATGATATATATATATTGAAATTTATAATATATAAATTTAACACATATTATACTTTTGAATAATATAATAAATAATACAATAATAATATAATAATAAAAAAAAAAAAAAAACGATGTGTAATTTTTTCGTACCTTTCTCATACTTTTCCATGTCGAGTATAATAGACAAGGAAAGCACGAAGTAATAAAGGATAGAGATAGGATAAAAATTCGGAAATCAGCGTCATCTTCAGAGTGCCGCAAATGAAACTACTAAAATAAGGAGAGAAGATAGTAAGACAAGGATAGAGATAGGTAAGAATTGACTTTTAGCGCCATCTCTCCAATATTACCGATACCTCTTAAAGTTTTTCTTTAAAGGATAAAGTAAAATAAGAATTAACAATCAGCGCCATCTCTTGAGTATTAATATATTTAAAAATAATACACATTTTAAATTCGCCTAAGAGATGGNCTGTAAGCGCCATCTCTTGAAGAATGAGGTAACTAAAAATAATTCAACTTCTAATTTTATATAAGAGATGGCGCTAGTCATTAATTCTTACTACATTATCCTTTCAAAAGTATCTTTAAAGTTATTCTTAAAGTAGAGCAAGAATTAACTGTCAGCGCCATCTTTTGAACAATAAGATAAGTAAGAATAATTTAACTTTCAATTTAGTCTAAGAGATGGCGCCAGTTATTAATTCTTTTACTACTTTATCTTTTAAAAAGTGTCTTTAAAAATTATTCTTAAAATAGGATAAAGTAGAGTAGGAATTAACTATCGGCGCCATCTTTTGTACAATAAGGCAACTAAAAATAATTTAACTTTTCCTTTCACTTAAGAGATGGCGCCATACTTTAATTCTTACTATTTTATCCTATATTCAAAAAGTATCTTCAATAATCAAGAGATGGCGCTTAAAGTTAATTCTAGCTCTATTTTATCCTGCTTTAAGAATAAATTTTAAAGATTCTTTTTAAAGGATAATATAGTAAGAATTAATGATTAGCGCCATCTCTTAGGCGAATTTAAAATGTGTATTATTTTTAAATATATTAATACTCAAGAGATGGCGCTGATTGTTAATTCTTATTTTACTTTATCCTTTAAAGAAAAACTTTAAGAGGTATCGGTAATATTGGAGAGATGGCGCTAAAAGTCAATTCTTACCTATCTCTATCCTTGTCTTACTATCTTCTCTCCTTATTTTAGTAGTTTCATTTGCGGCACTCTGAAGATGGCGCTGATTTCCGAATTTTTATCCTATCTCTGTCCTTCTCCCACTAATTGTTCTTGTCTATGTTCTCTTTTCAACTTATTAGTTAAATGCTAAAATAAATATAATTTGTATTTTTGTATGTTTTATACTGTTTTATATTTTTGTTCAATTTCATAATCAATAAATGTTTATTTTTGAATGAGGAATTTCGATTTTTTTTGATATTATTATTAATCCAGATAATTGATGCAACAAATAAGATAATATTTTTTTTTTTTTTTTTTAGTTATAATTTGGAATAAGGGAAGGATATATCAATCAACAGATAAATATCAAATGTTTGAGTGAAATATGTATGTATATATATCTCGTGAAAAAAGCTTTGACAACATTTTATTGTTAACCGCAGAAAAAGCCATATACACTTTCACACGAAATCGATCATAGTTTTTGTAATAATATCGAAAATTTATAATAATTGAATGTTGTACATAAATATAAAGACGACGATGTTGCACGTTCTCATGTGTGCCAAAACTGTACAAAAATTATCTCGAACATTTTCGCAACGCTCGTTGAACAACTTATTACTCGGTGATTGTGGCATTTTTATATATCAATCTTTTATATTCATTCTTTTAAATCTCCTATATCCCCTTTCTTCTTTTTTCTCTTCAACTTGCTTCCGTTCGATTATATATCTCTCCGTATCTCTTTTTTCTCTTTCTCTCTCTCTCTTTTTTTTTTTTTTAATTAAAACGGCATACTAATTGCATTCTGAGGTGCGCTTACAAGTTCGCAGAGCTTTTCTTTGACTTTTTTTTATATGAGATGCGATATATTTTAAAATCGATAATCAAATACACGGCCGGAGCGGGTGGAAGGAACGATTTTTGGTGTTTTTTTTTTTTTCTTTTTGCGCTTCTATAAATCTATCTATCCTATGTACTTTTTTTTTCTTTTTTAGCCGCGACGGTCAAGTGCCATATATATATTTATTTATTTATTTATTTATTTTTTTTATTATATTTATTTATATAATTTTTTGTGTTAGTATTTTTTAATCGGTACTTCGAACGCAGCACGCACAAATTGGTTTTCCCCTCCTCTTCTCTTTATATATCGCGAATTATTACTGATTAACAGCAGCGATTACATATTATTTAGACATGGCGTGCTCCATTTTTTTAAATCTCTATTTTTCTTTCTTTATTTATTTAATGTTTATATATATATATGTATTTATATAATATACCTCTTCTCTAGAATTTCTTTGTGATGACGTCGTTAATGCGATAATCGTTTTTCGTTATCGATTTCTCTCCCCATCCTCTTCTATTCGTATTGCTCTATCCATTAACGCGAGAGATCAACCCCCCCAATATTATCCGATTTTTTTCTTTTCTTTTTTTTTCATTTCCTCCACTCTTTCCCTCCATCTTCTCAATTTGTTTCTCTAATATTATTTATTAATTTCCTAAAACCGATTCGTTCGACATTATCGACATGTCAATTATACATTTATCATGTTAATACTTATTAAATATTCTTTTAATTATTGTAGATCACAGACAACTTGTTCTTAATCCATAAAAACAATTCAATTATTATTTCTTTCCATAGATTATTAGTGTATATATTCGTGTATATTCTGTGAGTATGTATGTATGTATGTATGTGTGTGTACACGTGTGTATAGATGTTAGTTGGGCGTGATAGGGTGTAACAAATTTTCGTACATATGTGTACATATGTTCACGTGTTAAACAAATTTTGCAAAAATGACGTCGCGTCGAATGAGAATCACACGTGAGATCATCATCTCAGAGATATTTCGATGGTTATGTGGAACACGTTGAAAATTATTTATTCCTAATTACAGATATTTTAAATATTTTTCGGATCAAGCACCATTAATAATCGTCTCTCATCCTCTTTGGCGAGAAAGAATGTTCTTATATATATTTTTCACTATGCTTCGCTATTTTTTTCTTTCTTTCTTTGTTTCTTTCTTTCTTTTTTTTTTTTGTCCAATTGTAAATCGATCGAAATCATCCAAATCAGCGATTGTATTTCGAGTTTTCAAGGTGTGGAAAATCAATTTCAATATAGGGGAATACGATTGTTTGGTCGATGTTCTGCTTAACAATAATGCGACACGATTAGATAATAACTTGAAAATAACACGGAATCCAATAAGTTACATTTTCTCGTAAGAAAATTAATTTAACCGAATAAACAATTCAACTTTCAACAGGCGTATATTCTTACTTATAAATCTAGGAATACTCTATAGATACGTACTAAGACTAACAATAAAATAAATGTTACGATTACAAAATAATACTTGATACTTATTAACCCTCTATAAATATCGAAAAATCCTTAAAAAAAAATTATTCCACGATATCGTTACATTAAGAAATTCACGACAATTCACAAAGGAACGAATAGAACTAATCGAAAAATTACTACAAGAACAATTACTACTTCAAGATGCCGAGATTCAAGGGATGTGTGAAAAATTATTTTAGCATCAATTTTTGCCATCGATTTCAGGGGTGAAGGTTCGCCTGTCCTGCGCCACTCGTATCGATTCACGCGCAGCAACGAGGCCGCGAAAAAACTACTGTTACTTGTTTCACCATCTGCGCAAGTAACACCCTGTGTTCCTTTGCGTAATCACAGGGATGAATTTTCGTTTGAGCTCGCCGCGAGCTAGCCAGCAAAATATTCTATATTTTAAAAAATGTTGCGTGCAGCGTCTGCCTGTGCTATTTGTCGTTTTTTATTTTAACAGAGGTAATAACCAGCGGGAACAAATCTTTTCGTTCCTTCCTATCGACAAACGTGACCCGATCCACCCCTAAAAAAAAAAAAAAAGAAAAAAAAATTGCATCTTTCCGTGGCACAAAGATATATTCGTGATAATACGCAATATCTCAGATAGGAGTGATTCGTGTTCCGTATCGAACTATTAATATTGGGTTTGATAGGATATTACTCGATATCTCCTCACTGTGATTGTGCTATTCATCGATTTGAACATCGATTTGGTTGTACTTATTTAAAGGAAAATATTTTGATTCAATCGTTATATAGTTTTCTCAAGCGATTTTCTAAGAAGTTAACAATAAACCCGTTGTAGAATTTCCAATCCAGACATATATAGAAAAGAATTGTAAATTCTACAAATAAATCAAAGAATTTTATGCAATAATTATTAATTAATAGAATTCTTCATCCTTTCTTTTAAATTTCTTCCTTTTAAATATATACATTCAATATTTTATAATGTAAAAAATATATATCCACGTTGTACAATCATCCATCGATCAAAAAATCCAATCGCTCTAAGAAGCAAGAGTAAGAGTTCAGTAGTACAAACTGATAATAGTCCGACAAATCAGTAGCACGAATCGACACGTTCAGCTCCTATCAATCACTCAAATTTTCAACGGTTTTCTTTTCGCCATTTCGGTTCGAGGTACCATACGCCTTCTTCTCAAAAGAAATGCAGATTATCTACTGAATATCGATGTAAGAAAATTGGGGTGGCAACGCACCCTCGAAGCAGATAATTTCGGATTCACGTCGGATATTCTCGAAAAAGAAGCGTGTATTCCCACAGTGAGACGGACGTGTACACGTAACCTGTGTATGTATGTATTTAATAATGTCTGTGTGTACGTGACAGAGAGAGACAGGTGTATCGATACAGTGTGTGGTTCTCGATTCGTCTACGATGCACGTGGAGTGGCGTATCTCGGATGCGCGTCATGATCACACAGCAAGCAGATTAACTTAGTAATACTTGTTAACTTGATAACGGGTACTCTTTAATTTTCATTAATTTACTCGTTTTAACCTTTAGTCCACTTGAGTTTAACCACCAATTTTCTCGCGCATTTTTCGGTTTCTCTCCTCTTCAGCGTCCTCACCCTCGCCTATCCTCTTCCATCTTCACCCTTGATCAATCGTCAGTAATATATATATATATATATATTTATTTTTTTTATTTTTATTTTCTATAATAAATAACCCAACCAGTCAGCCAGAATTGTGCAAAAAGGATTCAGTGTGTTTGATTCCGGGCACGTGCTATCGGAAAAAATGGGCAGGAATTGCTTTCGCTCGATTTCTATCACGGGAGGAGCGGATCGCGTGTGTATGGCCATTACATACATATCGCTTCTCTTGGCGGGTTCGAATCGACCGGGTTCAACGTTCAACCCTTAGGAAAACGACTCTCTCGTTCCATCTTGTATTCCACTTCAGGCTTCTTCAACGAGGATAATTATACAAACCGCACGGAAGGAAAATTCGCCTGTTATCGTGGGTATCGAGACACCGTAGAGGGTGCTTCCAAAAGGATGAAAGATACTTCTATTAATAAGACAAAATTTAACTGCAAACATCTTTCGTTTCCTTCGTTCGTAGAGGGTTAAGGTTATTTTTTCGAATGTGTAGAAGCACGATTTTACAACGTTTGTCCAATTCTCGTTATTTCTGTTTCGATGGCTTTAATTTCTTCCATCGATCCCTCGATAGGTAACGGCTCGGGGAATTCATCTTTGCAGGGAATTTTTCTCTCTGATGGTTGGTGGAAGTGCCCTTTACGATACGACGAGACCCAAGAGAGGCGGCGGAGTATCGGCAACGAATCCAAAATGTAATGTTTCCTCGCTGGATCCTCGCCAAGCGATCGTTCGACCTCGGTTTCCGGCCACGATCGGGAACCGTACTAAAAACACGAGCCACTGACGGATTAATCGATCAGCGGGGCCCGGGGTGGTCGCCGTTTCTTGCGGCTACGGGCGGTTGTCGAGTAGAAAAAAGTCTGTCACAAAATATCGTTATATATCTCTATTGGATAATAATTAGCGCGTACACGGTGTGGGACAGTATTATGCGATAGCGTTGTGGCATATATTATAATATTAAAACATTCTTTCTCTCTCTCTCTCTCTCTCGCTCGCTCTCTCTCTCTCTCTCTCTTTCGCTCTCTCTTTATTATTTCGTGAAACGAATCATCCTGAATCATCCGAATCAAAATGGGTTAAATCCGTAAATTTTTACGCTTTTGAGGAGAGAACGCCGATGAATTTTTTTTATTCCTATTTTTCTTTCTTTTTTAAAATTCTTTTTTATAATATATATATATTTTTTTTTTAATTGGACGCAAATCGACGCCCGTTCCTTTCGAAACTCTTACATTTGAGCATCGTGCACCACTGATTCACTCCGTGGTATCCGTGGAAATATCTGAAGCTACGTTTGCCATTGCGATTTCTTCTTCTTTTTCTTCTTTTTTTCTTTTTTTTTTTTTTTTTTAATTCTTTTAATTCTCGTTCTCCATTTTTGGTAGTCGGTGAGAGAATATTGGCTGTATTCGCGGTCGATGACTTGAATAAGCTATGTTGAAGAAAAATTATTTTTCTTTTCGTCTCTTTCTCTCTCTCTCTCTCTCTCTCTTTCTTCTTCTTCTTCTTTTCTAGATCCCGTTCTTGGGGCACCGCTTAATGCGGTTTCCAGGAGATGTTGTTCAAACCTTGAAAGTGACGCTTCAGACTGCCGCCGTCGGCCCAGGGGGAGTCGAGATACTGGTCGTCATCGTCTTGCTCAAGTTTCTGAAACAGATATATTTGTATTAGTCAAACGTGTCGTCGATGATTTGTGTGTATGTGTATGTGTGTAAGTTTATTGAGATTATTATTGAAAAAAAAGCAAGACTACTCGAAGCATTCAATGAAGTATTTCTTTGCGGATAGCAAATTATGATAATAAATAATAATAATTAATTACCTTTAGAAGAATAGAGAGCTATAACATGTAGAAGGTGTAAATTTAAAGATTAATTCTCTTTCCCCTAGCATTTACAAATTTTTTTTCATTTCTACTTTTCCAGTATATATTTATCATTCTTTTCAAAGGGACTGAAAAATGATTTTTAAAAAAAAATTTTTGGAATGAATTTCAAAGTTTTATCTTTAAGAAATAGATAAAAAAATTTTCTTTTCAAAACGAACGTTTTATGATGTCCCTATAGTTTTATTATCTCGTTTGCATGTCATGAGAATAATTTCATCATCGATTTGAATAACGTGTCTCTCAGAAACTCTTGAAGATCTTTAATGCCTGTAAGAAGCTCATCGACGATGAGGATCGAGATATAATCCAAGTTTGCCGATGGTCTTAAACTGTTATGCAGCAAATGAATGCTCCTCTCGTAATCTCATCTCGAATACTAGGTAAGAGGACCAAGGAAACTCCATATGATCCATAAAAAAAAAAAATTCATTTTCGGAGTAATATCGTTAATAAACTCTCTCTATTTTACTCGTCCCATATTTGTTCCAAATTTAATACTTCTCTGTCCTAGTTTTTTCTTTCTTTTTTTAAATTAAGGAAACAAAATTCACTGGAAAGCGATTCATGAATATTAGAAGAGTAATTGTTTGAGGACAATAAGCAACGTTCGCACAATGGAACATCTAATCTATTTTTTAACATGTAACATTTAAAAGCACGATGTAACTTTGCTCGTTTGACGTAAAATATAATACGTGTAACAACGATAAATTTATATTTTGAATAACTATAGAAATAGATTAAAATAAAAATTCCATTTTCCTCTCTTTCTCTCAAAATACATTCATGATAATAATTCACATATCACTAATCGAATCCTCAATTTACCGCTCTCTTCAAAATTTTACACGACGAAATCCCATCTATGCTTATCTATGCGAAATGAAACGGGTATGAAACGAATATATCGAGCACGAATGAAAAAATAAAAATAAAAAAAAAAAGGAAGAAACGGCGCGAAGTTAAAACGATTAACCGTTTCGAAAAGGTGACACACCAGATCCTTTATAATGTTTATCGGGCGCATGCTCTACTTGCTGTTCGCATCGAAACCAGACCAACGCAAAGTGATGCCGTATTATTGATCAAAATGTGTACACGGCGTTCGACGTTGAAAATCTTCAAAATTGTACGCGGTTATCGATTATCAATTCGCTCGACAACACGTTATTTCCTCTGGTAATGTTACACCCGTGCTCGATACGTCGATCGAACGGAAATTAGAAGGCGGAATCGTCGAATTGGAAGAAGAACGAGAAAGAAAGAGAGAGAGAGAGAAAGGGAGAAAGGGGGAAAGAAAAAAAATGTTTAAAATAAATGTTTGAAATGGGATAGAGTGTGTAAATGTAAGGAGGTGGTGTACAGGCAAGATGCCAGAACCGAGGCCACTTTAACGTTCAACGAGGACAACGCTATCGATCGTGTTACGCTAACGAGCAATTTCATATATTAAAACACGTATTTTATTATATCATAGATATTGAAAATGTTCAGATGTTGGATCAGTCAATGATTGGACGATTTTTTTCTTTATTATTTGACGAGTTTTTGCGTGTCCAAGAGAGATTTGAGATCGTTTGATTTTTTTTTAGAAAGGATGATTGGTAAATCAATCGATGATTATGACTCGTTTTTGAAATTATTAAGGGATACGTCGTATACATTCTGTTCATGATTGCTCGATTCTTATTTTTAATATTAAATTTTTATTCGATAAATATTTATAAATATGTGAATGACTCACTGCGTGATATAAAATATATTACACAGAATTTGACTTTATCTAATCTTTAAAATTTATACCTGGGTATTTTATTTTAATTAAAGAAAAATTATAAATGGCAATTTGTGACATCTGAGATTTCTTCTGATTAAATATTAATTTATTGTAATTTTCAATTACAATATTAATGTAAGAATATATTAATGATGCAATTTATCCTTTGATATCCAGGAGTGGATGACCTGTGACACGAGGAATATTTAGTAAGCCGAAGAAAGTAGCAGAGTTTGCAATCGGGCAGAAGGGATAAGACAGAAAAGGGATAAGAGCAGAAAGAGGAGGAAATAGAGTGAGTTGTTGGAATTATAAGCTGGGGGGTAGAGGTGGTTAGGTCAGAATCGATGCCTGCGTCCTTACTTAGCCTCGCAAGTGACCTCACTCACGCATCTCATGTAGAGGTAGATTCATAGCTAATGATGGTACGTGTTGATTTCATCGTAGATTAATTATTCTTGGTCAGTTGAGAAAAATAAGTCCAAGATTATACTTTTTTTTATATGAAAATTATTCTTTTTAATCTTAATTTTAAAATTAAGACTGACATTGAGAAATTATAATAAAATTAGAATCTCAATTAAATATCTTTTTAAATTGTGTTAATCATTGTTCTCTGTTTATACATATATAAATAGAATGACACGTTTATATTAGCGCATCATGCTATAATAATTGAATTTAATGGATAATCTTAAACAAACACGTGAATGTGTATCCAGAAACAAGAGAGAACCTGGTATTGTCGTTTATGCATCGTGTTTCTGGTTGTCACAAATAAACTGATGTATGGTCTCGTATAATTTCTGATAATATACGACCAAGTTTGATTTAGATTAGTTAGTTTAACGAGTTGTAAATAGAGTTGAAGATTAACTAATGGAAAAATATAAATTACTATGAAAGTTGATGATAAATAATCACAATAAAAATTAAATTTAAACTTTATTTATAAGGGAATATTTCAATAACGATCGATTTTAAACTTTGAGTCGTGATAGATGCAAAGACACAACAATTTTCTATATTAAATGAAACTTGCAACTTTTCTTCTTCAAATTTTTGAATAATAAATATCTCAAAATTGGATAAACTATAATATTTTCATTAGACTTTCACATAATTAATTATTTGTAACAAATATGCCTCGATCTTCGAAAAAAGAATTCAATTGGGAATTAATTAATAGTATCGTGGTCAAAATTAATTATGCGCTGCACTTCGAATTCTGATACGTACAGAAGAGAAATTGATTACATCGTGGCAGGTAAATTGATCGTCGTGGGACACCGAAAAGCCGATGGGAATTTCCAATTAGCACCAATTCTAAAAAGCATTCGAATCTTTGATGAACAGATCCAAATCGAGCGTTGCCTCTTTAAGGCGCACCATTTAAGCAAAATTCAGACTTCGCATCAAAAATCGCTACATTGTTTTTGGTTTCGATTCGTGACTGGTATCGGTTCATTAAAACCAATTAAAATATCACCGAAATTCTACCGTGAATTTAAAAGATCGATTCAATTTAGAAATACGTAGAAATGAAACTTCAAAGGGCGATGAAAGTGTCAATTTCATGTCAAATTTGTTCCTGTTTTAATTCATTTTGAAACTTTTGGGTCACTTTGATATCGTAGATTATCTTGAAATTTCTAATATATATTGGCGATCTCTGATAAAAATAAAAATTACTCTTCAAATTAATTTGAGTGAAGCGAAAATTTCTAATAATATGTTCATTAAAATTTTGAATATCCTATTTGTATTAAAAAAGAGTTAATTTAACCCTTTATCGATTGATACGAAATTGTATAATTACATACAGAGAATAATAATAAAAAGTTGTTTAGATTTTTTACTTTGAGGTTCAACTACTTTTGAATTCGATTGTTCGCGTAGTTTGCACGACAAGTAACCGTGAGATACCCTTAAGGAAAAAAAACTCTTTGAAAGCTTCAGTAGCAGTTTTTGGCAAGCCGACAATGCTATTATCTTTCCCCGCTTTGTTCGATCATCTCCTTTCTGCACGATACCTTTTCTTTTTTTTTTTTTTTTTCTCAATAAAACTGAAGAGGTAACAATGAACCTGAAAGAAAAGGTTCTCTTCCCTCTGTTTTATCTCTAAAATGACGACTAAAAATTCGACAAACGTAATTTTCTTATATTTGTAAAATTTAATTTTTTAAAAAATTTAATTTTTACGGGTATTAAATTGGACATCAAATCTATTGAGAAAGAGAGATACCAATAATTAATTTAATTCTTCTTCTTCTATAATTTATCGGGCATTATTGATGATTATTTAGTTGTAATATTTAGTGAAATATTCTCTTTATAATAAATTACGTATCGAATTTCTATACCTTGGTTTCCCACGAAATCTCTGGTTTAATATCAGAAAACATATATTCACGTTCATTCATACATTGTGCGCGCGTACGATGAAGATGCATGGAAAGGAATTTCTAGATATTGCTTGGAAAATACAGAATTTTTCAAAAGGAAAGCTCGATTCGATCCTTAATGCATGATACACAAGAATAAATGAAAACATGATAAAATATGAAAAACTGTATATAAAAAATAAAATTAATTCATGTGAAATTTTCCATGGATATTCTTTTTCTCATTAGAGAAGTATTGAGAACTGTATAAAGTAACATAAGTTTTGAATCATTCTATAGTAATTCATCGATTTCACAGACTGCAAGACGCCACCTTGTTCGTTTTCCATTTAAACACACCCTCTATGGAAACATGAAACTCAGAGTGATGCTGAGATTTCATTCCATTAATAGTATATCTAGTATTGCAGTTACCAAGTTTTTGAGCATTTCATCAGCATGATGTTCCATTCCGTATCATTTCATCGTTATATTTTTCGAGAATAATTTTTACTGAATTCTTTTTTAAAAGAATGATATATGAATTTGATTGAAGTGTGTAAATTGAAGAAAAAGATTTAATATCTGTAAAGAGGATTTAATGACTACGATTATATTATATTTATCGATAAAGTGATAAATTTATTATACTTGTATAATTTATTCCTCTTTATAATAAAATAATAAAATATTCTCATATTTTTTAGATACTCTGTATATTAAATAGATGCATATTATATGATATTTTGTAGAATGATAATTTTTAACAAGTAAATTATATTATGACAATTATATGACAAATTTATGTAATAAAATTATTGATATTTTATATAGTTTGATGTATATCTTGAATAATATAACATATTTTCTCAATATTAATTGAATATTTGAAAATTTTTCTTGTTTTTTTTTTGTTCTGCATAAAAATCTATATAATCTACTCATGACAAAACAAATAGAATGAAACAATCATAATCAGACCAATATTATTAATTGAAAGATTATAATTTATTAATTTTCAAAATAATTCATTTAATCCAAGCCTATTCTAGAAATTAAAATTCTCATTTAATTGAGAAAATTTCGTGATATACTTTACTATATATTCTTACTTACAATCCCTCCCGAACAGTGAAAAATAAATCATAATTTCCGTTCATGTCAGCGCTCTCATATAATTCTTTCGAGTCAAAGCACCCTTCCATTTATAGCTCAGCTCGGGAAAAACTCAGGCGACTCGTAGTCTGGCAAATAAAGTTTCCTATTACTACGTCAACTGGAACTTCCACTATTTACGCGAACTGCGTAATTTCATACTTTCGTAATTTCACCACGAAGATCGAGCAAAGAATCGTCCAGTTTTCTCATCTCAGTTAGGGAGTTATAATCGACGAGGAAGAAAATCGATGAAGATTAACGTTTCTTAAGAGGAAACTATCGTGACCATCTATTATACAAGACTTTGCAAATTTATGGGATGTATTTTTGAGATTTAAAAAATCGAAAAAAGAAGAATTCGACGATTGTTGAAAATAATCTTTTCGATTCTTTTTGAATTTAAGATAAATATTGAATTCATAAATAAATATTTTATTATTTTAATGGAATAAAATTTTCTGTAATTAATTTTGTTTAAGTTAAATAGAATGGAAAGTGAGTAAAAAATGTTTTATTTAATAAAATAATAGAAAAATAGCCGGAATAAGTTAAATCTAAAAACTTTCCAATATATAATTTTACTCTAATTTCATTCTTCATCAATCCACAAATTCTCACATTTCCCTTTTTCTAAAATTAAAAATAAAAAGAAATAAAATTTCTTCAGAAACAGAATTTTTCCAATTTATGTCAAGTCTTTCCAACACTATTACTCTATTGCAATTTCTCTATTATCCCACCAACTTATCAAAAATTACCTCCATTCAAAATATTCCCTTAATATTTCTCTCGATCATCCAAATCATGATGATCAAACATCATATGATGCAAGTATCATAAATGTAAACCAAAAAACGTCAACCATCGAGTCAAACTCGAACCGTCTGAAACTGGAGAGACAGATTCGCTTCAGATTCGACACTTCGATAGACACGAGTTTAAAAACTGGCGTACAAAGGGTTAAATCGTGTACAGGAAGTAAGGACCGGATCGATCGTTCGTGAAATTTCGAAGCTCTATAGATCCGATTCGGTAGAAGGCTAATCGAATTCGGTGCTGCAGCGTTCACGTTATCCTGGTGATAGGATATCTTCGGTTTGTCGCGGTCCAACGGTGAAATTGACCGCGTAATCATCCGATATCGACGCTTTATCGAGCTCGGTGACCGTGCACTGTGGATATTTATACACGATACCGTGTTTTATGCCTGTTCTCGGGCACAAAGGCCGCTCGATAACTGTTTTCCACCACGAGGACTCCTTCCCATTCGACGCTCTCCGCATCCGGTTTTTTGATCACCAGTCGGAGGAATCTCGGATGATGGTTTCACGGTGATCGAGTCGAAAAGCGTGCGAGTTAAATGCGAGGAACGTGAAGTTTCGAGGAGGGGAGGATAAAAAACGAGGATAACGTTTTTGCAGATTTCTTGATTGATGGTGGAAACGTGTTGGATGTTGGATCTTGCTGGCGGTGTAATTTTTTTAAAGTTTACATCGGAAGGGTTGTATCGGAATTCGATAAAGAAATTTTCTTTATAGATGATGCGGATACAATGGTGATGAATATTTTGTTCCTTTTGTAAAGGAAGGAATATTTTCTTGTATCGAATATAACAGTTTTCGATGGAAGAATTTTTTTTCTAGAAAATAGAAAGGGAAAGATACACAATTCTTCGTGACACGCGTCAATAAAAATAATATTGTCATACTTATTTCATCGATGCGACAAAACGATAATATAAAATTCATCAAGGAATTCAATCTCTATAAAGCATCTAATCCACTTTAAAGTCCTCGTATAGAAGGTTGTTGCAAGCAACAATGGGCGTAATTGCGAACATTCTGCAGGATTATAATTTTCCAGGTTTCCTATTTTCATTCGATGAATAGAGGGAATTATATAGTTGGCGTCAGTAGTTCGAAGTTTCCGTCAAATGGAACGGCGAAAACTTTTAAAGAACATCAGCTTATGAATTTCTTCAAACCTTACGCGAAAAGGCAATTAAATGTTGCATAATCACAATTTGAATATTTCTATTCTGAGTGTGGCACGTAAGTAGCAGGGAAGTTTTATTCGATTATAAATCGTGTATAAATCTTGGTGTTGACACATTTTTTTTTTTTTTTTTACAGAGGAGGAGTAAATTGCCAGGAAAATTGCTCATGCACGATCTCGAAATCTCGTTGTTAAAACGATTATCTGCTTAGAATTAACGATTCTTTTAAAGCACCTATTTTCTGCTGCTAGATTGACCAGAAGCCCCGGCGGTTTCAAATAACGCGATATTCTGAATACCAAGGTGAATCGCCTAAAGCCATCCAAGTGTCCCATTAACAACGTTTATTTTCGTTTGACTGAACCCTGATCATTAGCTGTGGCTAGTAACATTATTACTCGTAACAGCGGGAATAATGATATTCAATGTGAAATGCGCCCTTTCGATAAATTATATTTTCGATTATAAAATATTCTATCTGTACAAGAAATAGAAAAAAACATATGGAATATCTATTTTTCACAAATATAATCGATCATTATTTTCTTCGTGAGAAATATATATAATTTCTAATTTCAACTTAATTAATTCGAATATCATCAAACTTCCAAACATTCCAAACAGAATCCTTTCAACTTCAAACTTCTTCGAACCAATTCTTATACCTTTCCACAAATATACACTTTTTTCTCCACGGAAAAAGAAAATTTTGCAAGCAGGACGAGAGGAGGCTAAGAAAAAAGAGAGAAACTAAAACACAACTAAAATAAAACACATAGGAAAGGAAGAAGAACAAAGAAAGAAAGAAAGAAAGAAAGAAAAGAAAATGCTTGAGATCTGTCGGGTTAACGCTTACCCCTGAATGGAGTACGAGTTTGGTATCCCATCCAGGCTTTCCCTGCTGATGTCGTCGGCCATGGCGACCTTCAGCTGATGCCCAAAGCTCGCTAGGTCTTCCCTGAAAGCCTCGCTGCCGGGCGTAAGGGCGCCGCTCGTCAGTGGCAGGGGTGTCGCGTTACTCCCTTCGCCCTCCCCGCCCTCCTCGCCCTCCTCCCCGCCCACGAGGACCACCTCGTCTTCGTTGTAGATCTTGAAGTAGGCGATGGTGAGATATATCACCGAGATTATGAAAGACGGTATCGGAATCGCCATCGCGTACACCAGATTCATGTACACCTGCGGGTAGATATCACGTCACGAATGGAACCACGTTGCCTGAACGAACGTCAACATTTTTGCTTTATTTCGCTATTTAGAGAAGAATTGTTGCGCGTGGACAAGCAGAGATTTTACGGAGGAGAGGATCGCGAAAAATTTATTGCACGGAACAACGTTTTGCCAGATCGTGGGTGGAATTTCCCCCTCCTGTTTTGCTAGATTTTTATCGATTTTTCGATTGGAAAGTAGCAATGTAGAATAAGGAAATTAATAGTTGGAAGGATTATTGAAATACTTCGTAAAAGTTAGCACTATAGTGTTGTTACTGTATCACGTTAACTCGTTGTGGACGAATACTCTTTCGATTTTGACTCTCGGTAAAAATAAATTATTGAATTAAAAATTACTTAAAGAATATACGTACTATTATTCTACGAATCTTTACTATAAATATTGTACATATTAAAACTTAATTTCATTTTATTTAAGCGACATTCGCAAAGTAATCTAAAATTACTAAACAATTACTAATAAAAAGGATAACAAAGATAACAATTCTTCCAAAATCTCGATCTTGTCACCACTAAAAGTATAATTAAAAAGGAGGAGAAAAATGAAAATCTATTCCATCGATATATATATATATATCTCATCTCTCTCTCGATCCATGTTTTCGTCTCAACTTTAGAATTTGATGGCGTTAAATATCGCATCTCGAGAGTGTCATTAATTTACGAATAATTGACACACGTAGCCGCGCCAAAAATGGCAAGCAGACAGAATCGACGATGTTATCGTCGCTTTATAAGAGTGTTCGTTCCATCCTTCTCCCTCTTTCAATCCTGTTTCTTTCCCCTTCTCGTTCGCATGGATTCAATTGGAACCGCGGCTGAAGAGCTGGCGAGCGAGAAATTTTCTTTTCTTTCTGGCCATGAGGCAAGAGTTTCATCGGTTCCCGTCTTTGTCGTCGAGCAAGGCATTCAGCCTACTTGAAATGCATTGTTGATCGCTGTGCAGGCGGCTACGTTTCCGTAAACGGAATTCCAGAGCCGGCGGAAAATCGTTTTCCACGCCGAGATACCGATGGATCCAACGCTCGTTTCATCTTTAAAAATTCAGGATTATTCGTCGAATCGCGGACGATTAATTTTTTTTTCAAAATTCTTCGAGTTTCTTTCGTTGCTCTTGTTTTTCTTTTATCTTATTCGATGCCCAATTCACGACATTCACGAGCCGAAAAATTCACTTCGTCACGCGAAATGTTGAGAACAACCCCCGATTTCATCTCCAAAAAGAACCAAATTGCCGATTCCGTTATTATGCAATTACATTTTGCGCGCTGTCTCGACTTTTCTGACTTTGTTTTTCGTCTTTCTCGATAACAACGAGGCTCTTTCTTTTTTCTTCGTTCTATTGTAATCCTCTCTGATTGATCTATTGTTGCCCTCTCTGATGCAATCAGACGGCTATCAATTACTCCGACTTCGAGGGTCTTTGTGCCCCAATTAAAACAGATACCGATCTCGGTTAATAATGAGCACTGTTACGTACTTTATACTCATTTACAGAGGGAGGGGGAAAAACAACGTTGTTGTTCCCCTGCATAATGTGCTATGTCCTCAATAGGCACCTGCAGTATCGATTCACGAAGACGGTAAACTTGTACGAAAGTCACACAACACCACTTTCGCGTGACTTGTACGTGCAAGTACCGGCGTTTGAAATTCAGTAACCTGGTTATACTTCGAACCGAAAGACACGTCACTGCAACTCGAGATTCGATCCCTCTCGATTTCCATAACGGCAATTGGCTGGAATTATCTTCTACTGTGGATAATAGATCAGAAATCAATATGGCATGTTACATCTCTTAAAAACGAAACTTTGGTGGAACCGAGGATTTATCGAGCAAAACTTATTCGCTTCAACTTTTGGCAACTTTTGATTCCAGAAGCTTTGGTATCTGTGAAATGCATCCAATTTGATCGAATATTTTGACTGTGGAGGTAGAAAGATATTTGTGAAAATTCTTGTGCCAGGTTTGACTTGATGTCTATTTGCTTCAGCATTATGTCTTTCATTTTATTCTATGATAATATTTAACGAATGATTTTTTAATTTAGTTAGAAGAGGTTCAAGGGAAGAAGTTAAGTTAGAGAAATAAACCTTTTGTTAGTATCAGATTGTAGATAACTTTTATGGAAACCAAGAAAAAAAAGAAAATATACTGGAATTCGAATTTGTGAGTCTCAAATCCGAAAGGAGCTTGGAAACTCTATCTTCGTTCCTATTTGCATTTTGGGATATACAGATCCCGATACTATATCTTACTTTTCAATTATATTTCCACATAAGATCAAGATTCAGGAAGAACTGTTATCATCTACATTTTTCATATAGAATATAATACCACGAATAGAAATCTACTTTCAATTTTTTCCATCCCATTCCATTAAACTTTCAAAAAGCAAAGAACTTAGAATGCAAACTAAGAACTAAGAAAGAATCCCTTTTTTTGATGCAAACGCGAAACAAAAATTGAATCATATATGAAATCATTACAGAATGTACGTATAGTATAAAAATAGGATAATTTACAAAAAGATATCACTCTCCGATCGTGATGATTTTTTAATAGATCGTCAAAAAGCTCTTTTTCGAAACAATTAGCTTAATTTTAATCAGCCTTATTGTTTCAGACAATAGCGATTAAAAAGCCTAGACTTAATCCAAAAGATTAAATCGAATTTTTATTTAATTTTGATTGGAATTAATTGATGCCAGATAATTTATTCAATTTCTAGTTTATATCTTATTTTAATTTTTGAATTTTAAACAACGAAACCTTCACAAAAAAAAAAAATCAAGAGTGGTACCTTTTCAAAAGTATTTACTTTTAAAAGTAAGAAAGGAAAGATAGAAAATTGTAGAGAGACCTGCCACATGTCGAGGTCGCTGATGACTATCCCGGGGTCCACTTTCGAGTAGTAACAGCTAAAGTTCTGCCCTATGATGGCGTACTGCCGGTAGAAAATACTGCAATTCAGCATTGGAGGGTATCCACAGCCTTTTACGTTGGGGAACAGCTTGGCCCCGATGAAGTACCACTCGGAGTCGTTGCCCATGAGCCCTGCGAACTTCGCCTCGTTATCATCCAGTCGCCTCACCATCTCGTCGACAAACATTTCCATCGAGGAAATGAAAATGGTGGACATTGTTAGTGTTGCTTCATCGAGCGACAGTGTTCGATTAATTCGAGTGTTCGAACGACAACGAATTTTGCTGTTTCGTTAGAGGTACGCTTTCGCTTTCGAGATCTACGCTCCTTGACATTTAGAAATTGAAATTTCAATTGTCGTGCGGGGTTCTCGATGATTTATATCGTTGCCATCGTTTGTCATCATTTTTGGAGCATGAGTATTTGGCTAGAGCGAAATAATTAAACTATGTCGAAGTGGAACTTCGTTAATCTCTAAATTAGAGACATGTCTATATTTGGTTTCTTTGAAATTAGTGATTTGTACTATAGGTTGTGCAATAAATTCGTTCGTGTTTCTTTATGTCTCTTCATGTTCTATATTGTTTTATAATTTTTTACCATTTTTAGAATAAATGAAATGTACGTCCAATTTAAAAATGAAAATAGGATTAAAAATGTGATGATTGTGTAATGTAAAGCTGAATTATATTTTAATCAAATTGTTTCTTTTCAAGGTATATGTGTATATTTCTCTTGCAAAGTTATTTTCAATTAATCCACTTAAGTACAATATTTTTTCGAAATAATGAATTACGTAATTAAATATCAAATATTGTTAATAAAAATGTACTTTTGTATAATAAAGAAGAATTTCTCTCGCGAATATATAACCCCGCATGACTTATTCAACAGAATATTATATCGATAATCATAATCATAAAAGTTTCTCAATCAACAGCGAAAGATTATCAATAAGAAAAGAGAAACTTCTCTCCATGTTTACTTTCATCCAATTAGAAAGAGAGAAACTTAAGAAACCTTCGTCATTCTTCTCACGTTTCCACCAAACGACACATTGTCCTATTATCTTCGAGCAACAATGAAATTCAACGTAGATACTATAACCAATAGTCTCACAAATACTTCTACAATAATTAATTACATTGACAATGATCAACGAATAAGACTCGAGCAAATTTTGTAAGATAATCTGGCTCGTATAATTGAAAACGTAACACCCGAGCACGTTGTTCTATACCTGTAGGAAAGGGTTTCGGCAGTCCTGCTTCGTCGTCCTCGGCGAAATCCTCGTCAAGGTCCTCGACGTAATCGTACTCCCTTAGGGAGCGGTCATAACGCGGTTTTCCCATCGTCGTGCTGTCTTCGTCATCCTCGACACCTCCTACCGCTCCGCCTCCCTCACCCTGTCCATCGCTATCCTCGGACGTATTAGTCGGTAGCTTGTAGTTGACGCGTATTTGCGTGCAATCGTACAGCTCCTTGGTGCAACCCTCTCTACAGGATGTCCATGAGCAGTTGCTCGTACCTGGACTCAACGGATCGTTCATGGGCTTTACGTTGATGAGGCGGCACTCGTCAATGACGAGGATTTGACGGGGAGCAGACAACGAAGAGATTAGATCACGACAGAGATTGGTGCACGCCGAAAAAATGATGATTCGATGCCGGTTATGCATAAGGGGGTAAGGGGTAAATAGAAGATCGAAGAGTTTAAATTCGAAGTTTGTGAAGGAAGTGATTTCCTTTTGGGGTGAGAGATGTTCGAGAGATTGAAAAATGCGATACTTGCGAATCTTTTTCTAATTTGCTGTTGTTTCTTCGAGTAACTATATTAAAATGAGGTATAAAAAGTATTACATCCTTTAAAATGGAATAATTTTTTTAATGTCGAAGCAAACTATTTGAATTTCTTTTTTTGAAATATTAGAATTAATTTACTAGATAACGTGCAAAGAAAAAAGTCTGATTCTTAACATTTTTATTTGAACTTATAATGAAAATTTGAAACATGTCTTGTTTAGATCTAAGTTAGGAATCTTAATGTATATATAACATAATATAAAACCTACTAATACACGACTTGAATTATCAAGATAAAAAAGTACTATTAATTATTTCAAATTGTAAATTTATTAAATAAATTTAAAATTGAAACGACAGCAAACTTAAGTTAAATTTAAGTACTTTTAATTTAAGTACTCATACGTTTATAAATTATATATATATAAATGTGATAAAAGATACAATTTTTCGACGTGCATCGTGTTAGACGAGGCAATCAGAGACAAACGAAGATAGGGGAAGTTGAGAGACACATAGGGAATAAGTGTCACGACCTAAAAGAATCGAAGCGCATAAATCGTTGAAAAAAAACAGGATCAGAAGACGAGAAGGTGAAGTTGACCAGGGAAGAGAAAAATGCACGGTGACTTCTTCGAGAATCTTGAGAACAAGAAAACTATAGCAAAAAGTTTTTAACATGGTCCCTGAGGCAAGTTACGAAATCCTTGCCCTGACCTCCTCTTCCTCCTCGAAACTTTCATGGAGGAAAACTCTAGCAATGATGTAGTCGTCACACCTTTTGGATAATGTCCAATTTCCGAAGTTTCATACGACTTTTTAAAATGCACGTTGGTTATTGATGGTTCATATGAGCAGGGTTCGAGTCACGTGCGCGGAACAGTGTGAAAATTTCGAAATTAAATTAATAAATTTAGCGAGATTTGTTCAATAAAAAATTTGTTATCGATGAATGGAAATTTAATGAAATAATACTTTTAAAAATAATGATAAATGGTAGTTGAGATTTTGAGTGAATTTTCAAATTGGAAAAAATTGAACGATTGATTCATCTCTGCATATTGTAATATTGCCATATAAATTATCTATTTTCGTAACTCAGGTAGAAATCTTAATTATCACTATACTCGTGTTGATGTTGATGGTTAATTCGAATCGTTAACTAACCATGATTGCAAGGCTGCTCTCGCGTAGGGGGATGAATGTAATCTAACTTCGTGCATTTTCTTCCTTGAACAAATTTGCCCTCGTGTTCTCGGTAAAATCCTATTACGAGATATCTAATAATCTTGGCTGGTAATTATCGTTATCACTTGTCCAATTGCAGTTGAGATGCCGAACAACATTATCATCGAATGACAAACGTTTTGAATCTTCAATTAACGAGATAGTGAAAATTGTAGAATATATTACGAAACTATAAAACGTTTCACAATATTTCAATAATTTAAATTTTTAATCATCTTTCGTACAGTTGTTATATTTTTTATGGAACTCGTTTCAATAATTTTTTTATTATGCATTAACGAATGAAATAAATATATATTCGAGGATTCGAATGTATATGCACAGACACGTTTAAAGATACATTTATATCAGAAAAATTTATATCAGATTTAACGAAAAAAAGTTGCAATTTAATCAAGTGAATCATTTGAACGAGCATGAATAATAGAGAAGATAAAAAGTGCAGTATAGAGTGAGAGAATAGGAAACCATAACAATTAATAGAATATGAAATAGTAACGGAGATCAATATGATGATATATATATAATGTTCAGAGAAACGAAACTCATTCACACACATATATACATATATGTAACAATGTTGGGAGAGTTGGGAATTGCAATTTAATGCACGTGTACTCATTGTGAAATCATTTCATTATGTATTTTAAAAAATGGGACGATATATTTTAAATAATTTAATTTTGTAAATTTGATGAATTCAAAAGTATTAAGAAAAATTTAAAAGTATTTGTTAATTTATATTTCACATTTCGCAATTACATTAAATTATAACTAATTAATTCAGAATGAATTAACATTTTCCAATAATTAAGAGAATTATTATGTTTAATTATTAGTAAAAGCTCTTAATAGAGCAATTTTTTTTAGCGAAATATCACTTTGAAGGGTTGAAATCAACCTTAAAAAGTTTTAGTATTTTTAAACACGACTTTGTAACGATGCATGATAGAGGAAAAATTTTAAAACGTCCAGGTTTTAATACTCTATCTCTATTGTAAAAAAAATAATTTAGAGCAAAATTATATTTGAAGGATAAAAAACAGCATAAAAACTTCAGGACTTGATTTTGGCCGATCTTTTGCGAGATTTTCTGCCAAAAAATAAATATATCATATAATATAATTCATTATACTCTACACATACACATAAATTTTCACTAAAATTTTCATGTATTATTAGGTAAATGAATTTTTTCTTAAAACTAACGTATATTCATATATTACAACAAAGTTGAAAAGGAAAAACCTTCTCTTATTTTCTCCGATTATTGCAATCAATTCCAAATTTTTCCAAAATTTTTTTCACACGTTTAATAAACTAATCCTTCCAACTTCTGAAACCAACTCTTCGAGTTGTTGCATTCAATTTGAAAAAAAAAAAAAAGAAAAAGAAAAAAAAAAAGAAAGATTTTAAAAAGATGTGTCAATACTTTTGAGAGCCACTGTACATAACCCCGCATGTGCATCTCGAAGCAGACGTCGGAACACTCGATCGTAAGAGAATACCTGCAGCGTATACGGCCGCTGGCATTCGACAGAGGACCTGAAGTGTAAGCACGAGGGTGACGAAAGAGGGAACACAGAGAGTGTAGGCACAGGGGTGGGCACACGTTCAGATTGCTCGAGACCGGCTCGAATACCGGCTGTGAATACAAAGACACCAGTTGCGTCGATCTTAGCCCTCAGTCTCCGTCTAGTGCCTCTTTAACGGCGCTATTACGTCGATATATCGATAACGTCGTCGTTTACCGAAGTTTCCGGGGGACGAGCACAATTTGCAGACCCGTTTCTTGTCGCGATCGTTCGCATCGATACGTGTACGGATTCGAGACACGCATAATTTTCCGCCGACGTGTCTAGACGTTAATTAGAGGGTTACCGGAACGGTCTCTGTTCGATCGAGACGAAGGAACGATATATCAACCCTTAACGATCGTTTCCAATGCAATGCGGGTGATGATTCGAAGGTTTAAGGAATAATTGAAAGACCGTAGAATTGGAATTTTGTTTGTTTTTTTTTTTTTTTTTTTCTTATGGCAAAGAACGATGCTTGATGAAAGAAAGATGGAATATCAACCCCTAACAGTTATTAATGAGATTGAGAATAACTTGAAGATTTGAGGAATTATTGTACAATTGGAATTTTGTGTTTGTCAAGAGTATCAATCCTTAACAATCGTTTTCAATGCAGTTAAGGATTTTGAAGGTTTGGAGAATTATTGTAGTCTGTACAATTGGAATTTTGTTTTCTTAAGAATGATGTTTGGTCAAGAGGAAAGAATATCAATCCTAACAATTTTTATTTCAACATCTTCAAGTATTTCAGTATTTCTCATGTATTTGTAACTCATAGCAGCCAGATTTCAATGAAATTTTTAATGCAATGATATAATTGTATATATAAGTGATATAAATTTTATATTTTTACTATAATTTATTCTCTATATAACTTATATTAACATGCTATTATGAATATTTTTAGAAATTTGATTGAAGTTTAGAAGTATTATCATCGATAATAAAACAGTATTTATAAAGGTATTTTAATTATAATAAGTTTAATTTATATACAATAATTTTAATTATTGTTATTACGATTCTTCTTTATTAAAATTTATAAATAAGCAACCTTGTATTTATAATTCAGCAAAAATTGATCGAATGTTTTATAACGATTAAATATTCAAAGAGGTCAGCAAAATGATGCGTTTTCAATGGCAATCGATATCGTCATCCGTAAATATCTAAACGAATTATTTACACAAACATCAAAATAATTTTCATATCATTCAAGCATTGAATTATTTATATATATATATAAAAAAAGAAATCTCGATGAAAGATCAACGATGATACATTCGTTTATCACGACTCGAAAACACGATTTTCTGGATAAAAAAGGTATAAAAAAGAGGATTCGTACGGTTATCGAAACATTGTTAAAGAGAATTATAACTGTCGCGTAGTTTTTCAACACGTAGTCGAAAAATTTGATTGACGGCATTGAACGTTGGCTGCTCCGTCACACGAAGTTTCAACGTTTCAACAGCCCAGAAACCTCTCCCGACCTATCGACCATTTCTCCCTCTCGTTTTAACCCTTCTATTTAAATCTTGTTTCCATGAAAATCAACACCGGTGTATCTGTTGAAAATACAGACAGAAATCTCGAATTTAAATGGAACATTGATATCTTGTTCTCCTTACTTCGATTAAAATATGTTTGTACATTTCATGCGAGAATAATTTGAAAAAAAATTAAAGAATCCTTTAAAAAGTCAAAAAGTTTGGTTTTGGTTTGAATTTATTTCTTTATAATGTTTTAATGTCATTTATTTTGTTAATTTTTAATTGTTTCATATCATTAAATTTTGGTCTTTATTGGCCGATTATTTGCTTATTTTTCCCTTAATTAATTCGATATGATCGATGTTCTATATTATTTCTATTTTTAGAAATTTATTTCTATTTTAGAAATAAACAGATATATAGAATGGATATAAAGTAACTTTATTTTTTCTTGTTTTAAAATGAAAGGATCGTTTACTTTTTTTTTTTTTTTCCATACTATTTGTTCTTCCTCGCTCTTTTTTTAAAATCAAGTGGGCGTTGTAACGATGTAAATCAATAAGGCAACACGGCAACAGTTATAAAAGCGTATAAAAATGACACGCCGTCGTTAACGGTTATGGGGAATAATATTTGCCTACTCGAGATACCAAACGCTTGTTGAAATGAATAATCGTCGGTAAGAACACCCACAGACCGATTTGCATAAATAGCGTTACGATAACCATTTCTCTTGAAGAGATATAATATTTCGTATTTGCTTTCGATTGCTTCCATTCCATATCTCGTTGGACGAATCAAAGTATTAATTTTTTTTTCCTAATTATTTTTTCAACGAATACGAGATCCATCGTTCCGAAATGAGACAAAAATAACTTCAACGTCGTGCCACCTTTTCATAAAACGTTCATAAAACGTCACGTCCCCTTCGTGGATACATTTTTGTCTCTTTCTTTGAATAATCAACGAATAAAAAAAAATCTTTCTCTCTCTCTCTCTCTCTCGACTGTGAATCCGAAATCGTACAATTTGAATATTAAATTAAATGTCATTGCCTCCGACACGGGATATTAAATTCGTCTGTCTATCAAAACAGTCCTCGTTATACGACTCCGCTCGAAATAGTTTTCTCAATCATTCATGCAAATCGTATATTCCGAGGGTGACCCTATTTCGTGAATTGGAACGAATCGATTTATACACTCCTTCTACGCATATCCCACCTTTACTTGGGATTAAAACGAAATACATATTTTCGATTCTATCTCACAGTTCTGTCGTGTTTCTGATTCTTGGATAGATAAAAAAAAAAAAAAAATATGTAAATTCGATAGATTTGTTGAACTTTTGAGAAGATTGTACACGAGGAAAAATTCGTATATTATTTTCCTGATTTTCTTAACGAATTAAAAGATGTATATATGTATAAAAGGATATTCAATTTCTTTCTATTCATGACATTCCATGTTGGAATGGAAATGGAAATTAATTGCGAACTTTGCAGTCTTGTTAAACTGTGGTAGAAAGCTTTAATTGGAGACAATTTCATCGAAAGCTTTCTATCTTGTTGAATTTAATTAATTCATAGATCGATTTTGCTTCTAATTGGTCAGATTAGTTATCATTCATTGGTTGATCGTTTCATAAAGGATTAACGAAATTATGGTTTGACATTAAGAAAATAGAAATATTTCCTTCGAATATGTCAATATATCATTGAATAATGTATAAAGAGTCGTAAATAATTAATTATCCTTTAAATAAATTATTTTATACGAAGCATTTTAATCATTATTATAATATTTATATTGCGAATTATAAATATTTTGATGCGAAATGTGAAATATAATAAAATTGCATAAAAGAGAAATATTTCTGATGTTTGATATCAACTGATATCGTGCATCTTTGTTAAAGCAAGTACAGTATTATTCCTAATACTCTTTTACATTGCTTAATGCACATCAAACATACAATCAGTACACATACAGCTACGTGATACTCACACCATCGAACACATATATGAGGAATTATCGAGAAAGTACGAGAGAGTAGAAAAATAACGAGTATAAGAGAGAAACGGATTCAGTCATCAGAGCATCGCTTTGAAAGAATTTACAAATTAATGTAATGAAACGTATTGAAATGGGAAAAATTATACATTGTTAAAAAAAATTCCATGAAATATATGAAATTAAATAATACATATCCATTATAATAATACGAAATAAAGAAATTCATAAAAGAATTAACAGGACTATCAACAAAAGCCTGAAATAATCTCTTAAAATTTACTATATCCAAACTATTCTCAACATAACTAACAAGACAATAAACTTCCATCTTCATCTCAACTATATTCAAAAGAAATAAAACTAAATCACCACATCATTATATTGAAGTATATATCGAATAACACGTATAGAATCCAAACAAAACGAAACAACTTTCAAAGACTCGCATCTTTCCAAGACTCAATCGATTCAAACTTCGTAAACACGAAAGGTGAAGGAGAAAGATAATCTGGTCTCTAAGATAGTAAAAAGTGGTCTTCTAACCGAGAGAGAAAGAAGAAGGGGTGAGGGAGGGAGGTTAGGCTCTCATGCAACGACACAACGAAAGCAAAACACCGATCGGACGAAAGAGGTTTGACGATGTTTGAGATGCGACGATTGTTCACCTCTCCTTGACTCAACGTAGGTAGTGATACACTCGGCTGGCCGAGTGTCGAACTGCATGAAGATGGTGGTGAAGGCGGGGTCGATGACGAAGGGGACCAAGAAGAGGAAGGCAAAGAGGCTGAAGGTGCTGAGGAGGATGAAGAACGCGGTCGTGTAGAACAGCAGCTTCTGCAGGAACGTCTGCTTCTCCTTTTCCTCCGCCATCTCGGAGAACAAACGGCAGTGCTCGTTTCAGGGATGCACCTAGTTGACGTCGTCGTCTTCGTCGTCGTCGTCGTCCTCGGCGTGCTCGCTGACCGTCGTCACGTTGGACGTCGATGAGGCGAAACGATCTGCGAATTCGTCTCGTGTTTCACACACCCCCAACCACCCCTTTCTACCACTTTGTATCGCGTTTCAAGTGATCGAGCTTTCTCTGTCCACCGCTTGACACGGCTTTCGACCGGTTTCCGATAGATTTAGAATTGATCGATTGAATATATTTGATCCCTTCTCGAGTGCTTTTATCTTCTAGGACAGAATTCAAGAAAGTTTTTAGAAGGGAGTGGATAGAAAGATTATCCTTGAGATAATACCGTCACTTTGTTGTTAGATGTTAATTGATCGAAGTCAAGATGTTCTTTGAACTTTTAATCAATCAAGAATTTATCTTGATTGGTTTCGTAAAATCTTAGAAGAAGGAATGTGTATATATATATATTGAACTATAAGAGAACACCGAATCGAATTCTTTCTCTCTTGTTTCCAAGCAAGATTTATCGAGGCGCAATAAAAATCCAAAAGTAATTCCTACCGTGACTTTTCACTTTGTACAAGTGATTCCTATATTTCGATCCTGGTACAGTTTGAAACGGAGCTTTCTATATTGGGATTCAATAAATCTTCCTAGAAGCTGTGCAATATCGATTACGTTTTCAAGATCTACTCTGCTCGAATATTTCTATAAGCAAAATATTATTGTTTTGATAAATGTCAAAGGAAACAAAGAAGAATATATAAGATCGAACATAAACAAATCTCTTGCAATATTAAATTTTAATCAAATAAATTTAGGAAGAAATTTGGAATACCTCTTATTATCTTGCAAATGATGGGCAAGCCTCTGTTATTCTCGAATTATCATTCGCGACTCCAATCCTCCATTTATCCAAAAGGCACGTGCCAATTTCATAGTATTAGCCGTAAGAAATTACCATAACAATGAAGCAACGACGCGATACGCGAGCTTTCCATTCACGTCCTCCATAATAGAGTCCGTGGATTAATTCTATTTGGATCTCGTTGTGCTGGAAACTTTTACTGGTGTTTCATCTATCGAGACGTTGCTTTTTCGGGAAAGTTTGATTCGGGCCGACAAAGTTCAAACGAGTTCCACGAGGAACTCTTTCAACGGAATGGATTTCAAAGCTTCGACGAAGCTATACGACGAGATAAAAAAAATTTTCTCTGTAATCGAACGTTCTATGAACTCTTTTTGGTTTCTTCAACGCGTTAAAGTATATGTAAAATACATTACGTACTGTGTAATAAATAAAAAATTCAATCGAGGAAAAGAGATTTATTAAAGTATTATTGTCACAAACGAGATTTTAATCCTACAAACGAATAGAAATCCAGTTAAAATCTTTATAAAGAGACGATTTATAAATCAACGCTTCGAAACATACAAAAATTATTTCAAATTATTTCATCCTGCAAAATAAATAACAAAATTCTATAAAAATAGAGATAGTTTGTAAATTATGGTTAACAAATGAAATCAGGAAGATTCTATGGCTCGAGATAAGACGAAAGACAAGAATAATGAAAATTGTTTGAAAAATTTTCAAATACAAGTGAAATTAATATATGAAATTATAAACTACTTGAAGAAAGTTATTCTAATAAAATCAGTCTCTTTAAATTTTCCAAATAAAAAAAGTTTCCAATAAAAAAAAAAAAGAACTCGACGAATACTCAACGAAAATCGAATCAATCTAAGTCTCAGTCAAGAGGAAGAAAGAAAATGTCACGATTCACACTTTTATAAATTTCCATTGGTGAATCTAATAAACTTCCCTCGAATCACGAATGATTTCCACATAGAAAGAGGCGAGTGTTTCGTGAATGACAAAACGTGGACAGTGTTTCTCAAAATGACAAAACACTTATCGAATCTGAAACGACTCGCGTATCTCCACGGGCGTAGCCTGTCCTTAAAATCCTTCGATAAACGCCCTGCGTCGCGCAAACTCCTTTTAACAAATCCCTCGAGAGAATCTACCAAACACGTCGTTCCATCCCCTCCCTCTTTTCCTCTCTTTCTCCCCTTCTCTCTCTTTCTCTCTCTATCTTATTTCCTTATCCTCCGCCCGTTCACTCTCGCTCACAGGCGAGTAACGGAAGTTTAACTACACTCGACGGTTCCGCGCACTTTGGGCCGCAAACTACGGATTTGTTTTATTGGATTGCCCTGATTTACGGAGCGCTAGCTTTATGGAGATAAAACTTAGAAGCTTTCGCGTGGCTAGGTCTCTTCCGCCCGCGAGTTTCTGCTTCCATCTGCTTCTGCTTAAATGGGGTAAGCATTATCTGGACATTTATGATGATCGCTATTTATAAACTTCTGGGAAGAGAGATGGTCGGCGGGCTTCGAAGGGATCATGGTATGGCAAGGGGATGTTGGAGATGGTTTCCCTGCTCGTGATTGTAGTGAGATAGCGATGGTGAAATTAATAATGAAGAGGATTAATAGGTTAATTGGGAGAAAGTTCATTTATTTCCTTTCGTTTCTGAGGATTGTGCAATTTTTTTTTTCGTTTATCCGGTTAATTAAACGTTTCAAGAATTTACGTTGGATTTGTTAAAATGTTTGCTCTTTCATAGAAGCATTAAGTAGAAAAGATTCGAAACTTTAATTTCTCTAATATCGTCCAGCTTTTTAATTTCAATAATTTTCTATCGATAAAATTTTAAATATGAACAAATATCAAATAGAATAAATAGATATTCATGTACTTATATATCTTTTCTTGAGAAAAGAAAGGATACTTGACAAAAAGAAGGGGAAATTATTTACGAGATATCTTAATAACGGTAACAAGAAAACGTCTAAACTGTTCTTTTGTCACGTTCAAAAGAAATGTACAGGATATGTTATAAAAAATATAAATATATTCGTATTATCGAAAATAACATTTTTCCTCGTTCCTCGTGAATTTTCGGTTTGCAGTGCAAAGAAACTAGATTTCACGGCCACAAAGTGCTCTGTGCTCCTTTATTGACTCGACGTGCCTCGTGCCGGCAAGTTACGTCAGAAAAAACTCAAGCTAGACGCAGAGAGAGGAAGAGAGAGAGGGGGAGGGGAGAGAAAGAAAGAGAGAGAGAGAAAGAGAGAGATGGCTCAAAGGAGTGTTTTGTGTGAAATCATCCTCATCGGTGTCCTTTGTCATTTTACATTTTTGCCCACTTTCATACGGCGACTGCCTCGCAGTGGAAAAAGAGAATTCCAAGTTTATATTTAGATCTTCTACAACTTTTTACCTTTTACCGCAACACTTATTACACGGACGAGTCATTATTTTAACGTTCCCTTGACACTGAAACTACCAAGTACCACAAATTTAGAAATCCCTTTTACGAACGATAAAGAAAGTTTTTCACGGTGGAAAAATTCATCGAATTACGTTAACCCTCTTCTAATCACCGTTTAAATAATATCTGCAATTTTATCTCGATTCGATTTCAATTTTCTCTATCGTAAAATTCGAAGTGACGAAACGCTCTCAAAAAGTCTCTGTTTCAAATTTCTAACGAGAAGTCATATCGAACTCGATATTTTTCCCTTCGTAGGAAAACTCGCACTACTCGATCCAGAGATTTGGATTACGACAAGCCCATTCTCAGCCCGGAATGATCAAATTGTCCCGCGCCAACCCTTTCACGACAAAGGAGCGAGGGTTGGGAGGGGGGAGGAGGACGGTTTGCATTTACAAAGGCACTTGACGTAAATCAACACGCCTCGCATTAACTGTCCACGTTGATTACGAAAGGATCCAATCTGCGAGGGGATGCGTCACCGTTCGCAAATGGAAGCAGTCAGGCCTGCCTCGTTAACCAGCAATTAGTACATGCACGGGTGTTCTTTTTTAATTCGCGAGTTCGCGCATCGGTTCCCCCCTCCTCCCTCCTTCAGTTGGCCTTTCTCAATGGAGGAGGATCTCGAGTATCCTTTTCAACGACGGAAATTTAATTGAAGATTTTTCGACTCTGTCTCTTGTTGGATTTCCAAGTATTATCGGTATTTTATATTTCTAGGGGACGAAGCCACGTTTCTTTGACTAAAGAGTCAAAAGAGAAGTTTTTGATTCAAGATTCCCAACCCCCTTTCTTCACGTGCTACCGAAAATTCATCCCTCTTTGGAAATACGAGGGTCATTTAACAGAGACCATCGTTCGAAACTGGGCCAATCATTCTTAAATATCTCGCGTCTCTTTGTTTCTACTCATTCCACTCGTGCTCGACTATTATTTATCTATTATTAGACAGAAACGTACGTGGGATTATAGATAGATAGCGGTAGGTGTACGCGACACGGTTTGAATCGCGAACCACGACCACCATCACCACCCCCTGACCCGTCCATTCTCTACGAAGAAGCTCCACAAGGCTGGCCCCTCGATACGATATCTCCATCACCAAGAAGGAGATTTCAGAAGAGAAAGCTCGATTGCTTCCGCGAGTAAAAAAGAAAAGAAAAGAAAAGAAAAGAAAGGAAAGGAACTGTACCCCCTATGAAGAAGAAGAGAAATCGTCGGGGCTCTGCGCCCTCTTCCTGTGCCCCCGCATCCTGTCCCACCTCCTCCTCTTCCCGCGTTCCTCGCTCACACAGGGCCTTTTCCTCCCTCCCCGTCGCTCTTCGTCTTCGCCTACTTCGCCGCACTATGTCACACTGTCCACCCCCGTGCACATTTGTCGCGCGATCTCGCGAACCACCGCGCCTCGATCGAACCCGCTTCTTTCCCTGAACCACACAGCTCTGGCCTTGTAAGATAATCGGAGAGAAGAATAGGCGGGTTCGGCTTCTAACTTTCTCAGTCCACTGGTCGTGGCTGCCGCCTCATGGTCGTCGTTCCTTTTCGCCTATTTTCCTCTCCACTCCCTTCCTAGCTCCTCTCTTGATCCCTCTCCCCGTTACGATCCCCGACGTCGATGACGATCGATTGCCAAGATCTGCCTCCTCGATCAGACTCGAGCTGCCATTCGAGCTTCCATCGGCGAGGTTCACACACGACACGGTGACACGGAATGTACGGTTGTACCGCGGGAAATTTTCGTCCTGGCCGCGGCGCCGACGGATGCCGGGCTACTGCAGTCGGTCGAGCTTTTGGGCGAGCTTATTTTCGAGCGACGACAGCGCCACAGTGGCATCTGGTGGCATCGACCGCCGCCGCCGCCGCCGCCGCCGACGCCGCCAACCGACGCTCAAAGCCGACACCAGGGCGTCCCCTGCCTATGTGCCTCGTCTCATCCTCTACGCCTTCCTGCTTCTTGTTTTCACGACCTTGCGCTTCCATTGTCACCCGCCGTTCTTTTTTTTTTTTTTTTCCTTTCCCCGTTTTGTTTTCTTCCACTCCCTCGTATTCTCTCCCTTCATCTGTATCGCCTGTTACTGGTGTCAACGCGTACGAGCGAAGTATCTTGGGATGAAATATCGTTTGGATAACGTTAGAGATATCTCGCGTTTTTTTATTTTTTTTTTTTTTTATTTTTGGCGCGAGATTTTATTGCTTGGTAGAAATCAGTCGCAAGGTGTGCAAGAAGATGTAGTTAACCGAGGTAAGGAATGCGTTGTATTTTTAGAAATAAATTTTTCTTATTTGCCTGTTATCTTTTAAATTTGTTTTTCTATTGTTTTTGGAAATGAATCTAATTTTAGTGAAAATTCCATTAACAAGTGCTTTTTTCTTTAAATTATTTTATGCATATTTTGAGAGTTTAAGAATTTAAGGATGCAAAAAATCATTTGTGAATTTGTTTATACTTCTTCTGGGATGACTTCCTTTTAAATTTGTGAATCTTCGATTTGTAAGATTCAAACAGAACGATAAGAATTATAAGTAGATCCAATTATCGAAGCTTTAATTCCTTAAGCAAGATTTTCCATATATAAAAATCGTGGAAGGATCGATCGAAAGACAATATTCGACGGGAGAGAGCCATAATAATATCGTGATTGAAGTTAAAGAGATGTTATTTCTCGTAACTCAAGACCGGAAATACATTTGGTGGAACTGGTTTACCAAGTTTCGCGATTTCGTGAAAACATTCAGCATGATTTAACGCCAACCCATCGCGGTTTTGCTCGTGACCATTCCAAATGATTCATTCCTCAGACATTGCTATCTATCCTCTTAATAAACGCCCACGTTTTTTGTCTTTGAAAGGTCGACAAAATTTGTGGAATTTCGGTTGTTTTTTTTTTTTATCGGTTTGGTAAAATACCAGGCTAATTTGCATATAGACGACCAAGTTCATTGGAAATTAGCCAAGATATTTTAATAGATGTCGGATGTTTAAGGTCGTATTACAACGTGCTTATCGATAGCCGGCCATTGATGCTTGCTAATTTACATAACACCACTGCAGGGATTAGATTGAACCGTGGGTAGGAAATTATGCGATTGGACAGAGTCGAGAATATGTTCTGGAGGAACGATTAAATTCGGGATAAAATTAGCAAAGGTAAATATAAGTGAAAAATTATTGAGAAAAATTTATTGCTAAAAAAATTTCTTAAATGCGAGAAGAAAAATCCATCAAGCATAAAACTCATGCAGACATCACATTTCACGAGATTACTACACGATGAAATCTGCAATGAATCTTTCACAATCTTTTTGAATGAATTGGAAATTTGTTTGGATCTTCGTGACATATAACAAGATTAATATCTATTAGAATTAAAAATAACAGGATTGAAATTTAACCGAAGACGCTCCGTGAAAATCTGCAAGAGGCGTAATATCTCTCGAAAATATGATTCGATAATGAGACAAGTTTTTATCTTTTGGATTAAAACGAGTTGAAAGAAATTGGAAGAAGGAAAATTGTCCAAGATCGCGCATGCAACCCTCCAGGGTTTCCCTAATGACCTAATGCTGATGCAGCCCTGGAGCCGCGGGCAGAAACCAATAAGAAAGAAACCGGTCTAGGAGGGAGTTTGGAACAGTTGTAAATCGTATAACGAGGTTAGCCCGATGCTCCACGACGAGCCTGAGAAATTAGTTTGTCCGGCACTGTAAATCGATCTCCCAGGAATAGCGTTTCACTTATGGACCATTTATATAGGAATCTTCATATTAATTTGATTGTCCGCCGATAACACGATGAAACTATTGAAACACCACTTGAAAAGTGAAGGGAAATTAAATGTTAAATTATGGAACAATTATATTCGCTATCCTCGGTCAGTAAAAGTTCTTCATTGCGTTTAACATTGTGTGAAATGAATTTATCAGTAACTAAATTTCATATGGAATGTGTTAAAAATAAATATTATAAAGGATTTTTTATTTTTTTGAGATTACTTTTGAGAGAAATAAATTATAAAGATAGTGTCGAATATAATAAAACAATCACAATTGGACGAACAATTTATTGTTATTGTTTTATTTTGTAAACTGATTAAGGACGGTAAATAATACGAGTAATATTTTGTTTCTCCTGAGAATTAATTGCGAATTCTCGGTTTTGGAATCAGTGAAATGTGTAGAGATTTATATATATTATAATAACCGTTTTATAATTCTATAATTGTTACATAATATAATAAATTACACATTCCGCATCCGCACAATAATAACGGATATAATTAGCAATATTCGTTATAATTTGTCTTTAAAATCTTCAGGAAATAAATTAATTATACAATTATCAATCAAATATATTTCTATCAATTTCAATTTCTTTTTATCATATCGTAATCAAAAACATTTATAATACTTCAAATCTTCATCAATATACTGAAACTATGATAATATAACTTATCTTTTCTGTTCCTTTAAAAATACCTTTAAAATAAATATTTTACTTGTAATATTTCAAAATCATTGTTAGAACTATCGATATTGCACACAAGATCAAAATCTTCTTATCACCATGTACTAATTACTTCATAAGTCAACTACTTTGGCATCGTGATATATAAGTAATATTTATTCTTAAACTAAAAATAACCACGATAAATCTCCAAACATTTCACCGAACATGGCAAACAAAATGAGAAACAAAATGTTACTCGTATCATATCATTCACCGTTCTTAATCACTTTACAAAAGCCAAAGTAAACTCATCCTGAGCATCGAAACGCGGTTGTATCACGATATCACGGCTACAAATTTCTCAGAATTACCGATTTTCCCCGTTGTTTCAAACTCGAGAATTATTCCATGCGGTTAAAACATAGCCTGATCATCGTAACACGCGAATCGTATCGAACCAGTTCCAATGTGACGATGAAACAATTCAGTTGATTATCCAGTTCTAGCCACTATCATTCTCTCTTGATTAAATAATGCCATTTGGCATGGGTGACATTATCTTATAGTCCCTATCAAAGATTTCGTAAATCTCGTAAAACTTATTTTGACTAATTATAATTTCATCCTCCCTCATAACTATTGTCCCCTTTCTCAATCATAATCTTATTTTCAATTAAATGTTCAATATTCAGTTAAAAAATATTACAATACGTTTATATTATTGAAATCGGTAATTTTTCAAAAAATTTTATTACAGGATCGTCATAATACGCGATATAAATCATTCAATTATTGTGACGAATGAATTCAATTTCATCGATAATCATCGAATCAATGACTAAGCTTGGAAAGGATTCTTGAATTGGAACACAAGTTTCTTTCCTGACCGATAATTTTTCGTTCTAAGGGAAGGCTTTCTACTCGTCGTTCGTTAGCACTCGAATATCAAGTGACTAAGTGTTTAGCCTCTAACAACAGGTCGACTAGATCGATGAAAACAAGCGGATAGGATGTTGCACTTTGGGAACAATGTCGTAACGAATCTTCTCCCGATGATCCACCTCACCTTTTAGTATTGAAAGTGTAGTACACCCTCGAACTGCACTCGAACTAGCTACGTTTGTTTCTTTATTGATGCATACCGCATGGATAGAATACTCTTAACCTCTTGATCATTCCGTATATCGTTACCGTGTATATTCGTTTCCTCTTTTTCTTTATTCTTCTTCTTCTTCTTTTTCGCGACTTACGAAACCGTGAATCAATTTTTCTATAGAGTGTGGAATGCTGGTTGTGAAGTGACGTTAAAGATGATTAATGTATATTGTAAAAATGAAATCATTGGAATGATCTGTCTATGTATAAATTATATCGTTAATTTCTTTCATAAATTATAAATTAATTAACGATATGTTTGTTTTGTTATACGTTATTTTAATACAAAGGAAAATCGTAAAAAAAGAATCAGATTATTGAAGATAATTAATATAAAAATTGGATAATTGGATGAATGATTTATAGTGTGAGATGACATGCTAGTAGATATTTTCTTTAATATATAAAATGGATTCATAAAGTGGATGATATGTTCATTTTAATATAATGAAACGAAGAAAGAGTGAAATTATTGAAGATGATCAATATACAGTAAAAATTGATATGAACGAATATCAATAGAAGATAATTCTACGCATAAAAATAAATAAAAAATATAAAATAACTTTTTTTTATAAAAATTACTCTTCGAGAAAATTATATTTCATGACTAGACTATATAAATTGATTTTCAAAAAAAAAAAAAAGAAAACAAGAATTTAAAACTTCATTTCACCTATCAATAGTTTATTCGTATCTCAGTTAATTCAATCTTGATTTACTTAACGAAAATCTCAAATGGAAATATTTTATTTTTATATTTTTCGACCCATATAGAATCTCTCCATCGTTATATCATCGATATTCAGCTTGATAAAATAAATAAATTTTCCAATTATTATTATAAGAAAACATACGTACACTTTTTTCTTATTTACCTCATTCATTTTCTTTCCAAAGAAAGAGGAAAAATTCCATTAAATCAATTAACAAAGAATTAATCCTCATTGGATTCGTCGAAGAAAAAAAAAAAGAAACACAAAGATCCTGCCATTCTATTCCATCACAACAAATAACTCCTCAGCGTTTTCGAATAAACTGGACTAATGAGACGTACTTTCGCTGTTTATCCTTCCTTTCAACGTTCGAATATAATATTTAGAGAGAGAATGCACGATCGTCGTGTTCTCTT